GTGGGGGTGCGCATCTGGTATAAAAGGGGGGACTTCTGATGTGAAGGGGACTCTTCTCTGGATTTGGTGTTTATTCCTCACCTGTGCTGATCTCTGGAGAACGTTCCTCCTCCTTACACGGGTCATCACCACCCAGGTTCATCTCTTCCGCTTCCTCTTTCACTTCAACTTTCACAACAATCAAACTTTCACCCTGAATAATACAAAATAAGACAAATTTAGGTACCTCGGCTTATATTCGGGACGGCTTATACTCGAGTATATACGGTATTATCACCCGAGAAGAATAAAAAAGAATTGCACGTTCGGTGACAGAGGCCGACATCTGGGTGGCACGAGGGACCAGAGGAGGGACAGGAGAAGGTCCTTGTATGCTGGAAGGTGAAGTACCTGTCCAAATATGTACAATGCTGGGTGTTCTACACATGACCTTCACCGAGGTCTGTTCTCCTTTATGTGAGTCGGTTCAGAGATTTTATTTTTAGGCACGTCTGTTCTCTGTATTCCCTGAAAGGTTATGTACTTACACTGGGCGAAAGTATTAAAGTATCTGTAAAGCCCCAACTTTGTTATTAGGTTTGCTTAGAGTGGTGAGGGGTTAGGACAATTTATTTAAAGAGGAACTCCACAATTCAATATTTTGAAATCTGCAGATATCTTTAAAAGAATCCCTGGTGACCCTGCCATGAAAGTCCTTGTTCAGGCACTTCCTGTTATAGGGTGACAATGACCTATCACTGTGTCCCAAACTATTAAAAATCATCCAGTTACTGTTCTACTGACATCTACTTTACTTCAGGGCTGAAAGATTAGTAAGAGAACATAAATCTGTGTAAACTTCCCCCAGAATGTGACCCTCAGGTCCATCTACCTGGTCATCCTGAGGGATCTCCTGATGTTCCTGAGGGATCTCCGGATGTTCCTGAGGGATCCCCTGATGTTCCTGATGGATCTCCGGATGTTCCTGAGGGATCTCCTGGTGTTCCTGAGGGATCCCCTGATGTTCCTGATGGATCTTCTGATGTTCCTGAAGGATCTCCTGATGTTCTGAGTGATCCCCTGATGTTCCTGATGGATCTCCTGATGTTCCTGAGGGATCCCCTGATGTTCCTGATGGATCTCCTGATGTTCCTGATGGATCCCCTGATGTTCCTGATGGATCCCCTGATGTTCCTGAGGGATCTCCTGATGTTCCTGAGGGATCCCCTGATGTTCCTGATGGAACTCGTGATGTTCCTGAGTGATCTCCTGATGTTCCTGAGGGATCTCCTGATGTTCCTGTGTGGAATTCCAGGAATACGGAGCTTGGGGACATCTCTCTGGGGTATTTCTCTTACTGGAGGCACCTAAAGCAAGTGCAACTATAGTTATATAGACATGTTCTAAACCAATGTGTTTTGAACTAGAATACACATACAGTATGTTCAGGCCAATTAATATGC